CATTACTTGAGTATAATTTCTACTTCTCCACTCTGCTTTTCCACTTTGCCCAATCTGCCACTTTTCTTATGTATTATTGCTAATTGTTTTTTTACATAATAATGCAATGATTTATGATAACTGTTTTTCTTCTGTGCATGTAATATTGTTATTAACTAAACTTGTAAGTTTCTACACTTGTAGTTGCACTGACTATTTTTACTGAGTAATTTCTTCTCTATTTCAAGTCACTATTCTCTCATTCATAGTACTGGCTTTAATTAAATGTTTAATCATCTTTGAACATGGCAGTTTTATGTAGCGTGTATTACCAAAAGGAAGTTTGGGATGGATTAACGTTTGAATGAGAGGTAAGGGAATGGAGACAAAATGATTACCCAATGTTTATAGAAGATTGTCTTCAACAGCTAGAAAAAATGGGGGCACAGTGTAGTTGGAGAGGATAAGGAGTCAAGAGTGAAGTTTGAATATTTTTGTATTTTAATTTTTGTATTGGATTTCATTGTTTAGAAGGTAAGATATCAAATCACATTTATAAAACTTTCATAGCTATATTCAAATAAGACCATTTGACCCAGCAATCCCATTACTGGGTATATATCCAAAAGACTATAAATCGTTCTACTATAAGGACACATGTACACGAATGTTCATTGCAGCACTGTTTACAATAGCAAAGACCTGGAATCAACCCAAATGCCCATTGATAATAGACTGGATTGGAAAAATGTGGCACATATACACCATGGAATATTATGCAGCAATCAGAAATGATGAGTTTGTGTCGTTTGTAGGGACATGGATGAATCTGGAGAACGTCATCCTCAGCAAACTGACACAAGAACAGAAAATGAAACACCACATATTCTCACTCATAGGCGGGTGATGAAAAATGAGAACACATGGACACAGAAAGGGGAGTACTAAACACTGGGGTCTATTGGGGGGAAAAGGGGAGGGCCAGTGGGAGGGGGAGGTGGGGAGGGATAGCCTGGGGAGAAATGCCAAATGTGGGTGAAGGGGAGAAGGAAAGCAAAGCACACTGCCATGTGTGTTCCTACGCAACTGTCTTGCATGCTCTGCTCATGTACCCCAAAACCTAAAATCCAATAAAAAATTAAAAAAAAAATGTTTAATAACCAATGTTAACCTACTGTTAATTTTATTATGAGGTAAGATTTTACTTTCTACATTAGATAATTTGTCTTTTAAACATTGTATGTATGATCATTGTAGACAAACTGATGACTGCTGAGAAGTAAAATGTTGAAAGAAATCACCAATAATCCAACATCCCAGAACAACAACTTTTAATATTGATATGATAGATTGGGTTTCTAATGTTAGCTGCAACAACAGCTCCAATTTCACATTCTTTTTGCAATGTGGAACTTGCCCTGCCCCCATCCAGAGGTGGAGTCTATTTCCTTTCCTCTTGAATGTACACTTTCCAATAAAATGTGGCAGAAGACACTCTGTGTAACATGAAATTGGATATTAAGAAACTTCTAGCTTTAAACTGTGGTGCTTCCTCCTGAAAATATTAATGTATAAAGCATATGACTACCCTAACACAACCATGCTGTAAGGAAGCTCAAATATGGCATATGAGAAGAAAAGTCATATAGAGGGGCACAAAGGTGCCAGGTGCAACTAAAATGATTGTTTAAATGTCTAAGTTTTGGGGTAGTTTGATATGCAGCGATGGATAACCGAAGCATTTAGAGCGTGTTTATTAACAGCCACCCTTTTCTTCCTAAACGCAAATATTTTTAGTAGGTTAGCATTCTATGAAGAGATTTTTTTTTAACATTTATTAACTTTCAAACATACAGAATATTTATAAATATTAAAATAGCGAACACACATATACCACCCAGTTTAAGAAATAAGACATTACAAAATACACTGAAAGCTCCCTGTACACTCTTCTACAAAAATATTTTCCTGCCTCCCCTTATTAGGAAAATATTTTCCTGCCTCCCCTGTAATGCTCTTTATTAATCTTAAAATGTCTTATATGGTTACTATATAAATATTTTTTCTTAAGCACTATAGACTATTCTTATGCAAATGTAGTTTGTCATAAAACTGGCATTGACTACAATGATCCATTGATAGGTTGTCATTTTCGTGCAACATTGGTTTTTAGAGATTCATCTATATTTGATACAAGTTACTCTACCTAAATTATATCACTGATTCTAACTGCATTGCTTTCTGTTGTTTGTATTACAATGTTGCTATAAATATTTTTTTTTTTTTTTTTTAAGACGGAGTTTTGCTCTTGTTACCCAGGCTGGAGTGCAATGGCGTGATCTCGGCTCACTGCAACCTCCGCCTCCTGGGTTCAGGCAATTCTCCTGCCTCAGCCTCCCGAGTAGTTGGGATTACAGGCACGCACCACCATGCCCAGCTAATTTTTTGTATTTTTAGTAGAGACGGGGTTTCACCATGTTGACCAGGATTGTCTTGATCTCTTGACCTTGTGATCCACCCACCTAGGCCTCCCAAAGTACTGGGATTACAGGCTTGAGCCACCGCACCCGGCCCTAAATATTCTTATACATTATGCATCTAGGAGTGAAAAATGCTGGATTGTAGGGTGTTCACACTGTCATTTTTCTTAGATATTTTCAAATTGATTTGCAAGTCACCAGGATGATTTTTTACACAATACTCCCTAGTTTACCTAGATTCATTCACTCTAAAGGTAATAATGAAGATATTTTGTCTTACATGGTTTCACTTTGGCAAGTTCAGCATGTAGGTTATCCCATGTTAGTATTTGATGTAAAATAATACATCATTTATTTAATCATTTGTATAATTAGGAAAGTAATGTTTCATAGTGTGGGAACAAAATCAGGAGTGGTTATAATTCATTCTCTTATGGATTTATAATTTGGCTTTCTGAGAGCCAAGTATCATTCCTCCTCTCTCTCTTCATTCTACTTTTTTGAAACTCATAATCAATAGGAAAAATAAAAATTCCAAACCTACTTTTTTTATTTTTCCTGCCAGCATATTTACCTCTGGGTTGTTGTTTATATCAAGACTATTTTTTCTCTGCTTGCTTCTTTGTCCTTAGATGCAATTCTGATATTTTGTATAACACTGACTTCTACTGTTGTTCTGTAATTCAGTTTCTTTCAACAGGACATAACTCTAAAGAACACAATTAAACAGAACAGAAGAAGGCTTTAAAGCAGAGAATTAAATGTTACATTTAATTCAGCTAAGATTTTTTTTAACAGATGGTGTCAGATGTGGGATAGAAGGTAGAGCTTCTAGCAACCCCCAAGATTACTGAGTGACCAAGAAAGGTACCCACTGGGCCCATTGTGTCCACTGCTCTTTCACAGCAACTGGGGATCATAGTTAAATTCTCCCTTGGATTCCAAAACTCCATGGATTTGTGTTTCGAGCTCTCCAAATTTCTTTGAGCAAATTTCAGATTTCAACTGGGTTTGGAAGTTGCAATAGAAACTGGACTGGGTCTAGGATCAGATTGGAACTGATAATTAAGTATCTTGATTCCAGTGACAGGCCTCTTATGTCTGACTGAGTCAGAAAGAATCTTGTAGTCAGTGGCAATATTACAGGGGGTGTAAACTTTAGCTTTTGGAAATTCACGGGGATTTTTGTGTTCTACCCACTTTGTTTCTTCTTTCTTGCAGGTTCATACTTAGGCAGGGAAAAAAATAACTGGCTAAGTTGATCAAGGGGACCTGAGAGTCAAAGCCAATGTTTGAGATAAAAATAAAATCCTTAGTTTCTGAAGAACTGAGTACTTTCTGGCTTATACATGGATAAGTTTTAGGCCCTGGAAGCTGCAAAGGAAGACAAGGCTGTTATACCTGGCAGATCCAATCCCTCCCAAAATAACCTATAGACAAGCAGGAAAAGTGGGGAAGAAGGAGACCATATCGGGCTGGATTCTGGCTTCTAGCTGCTGATGCAGGAACTAAGAACATGTTTCTAGACCTAATCATGATCACCTACCCAAACTCCTAAATCCAGAGGCTCTAACCAAAAACAGCTCACGGTCAAATAAAGTAAGTATCTAATTATATCTGTTAATTTTGAAGCCATTCCTGTTTTACTTACAATTAAAACTAGCTTTATTTGCCAAATATTATCACAGACACATAACACATGTAGACATACAAACACACAGAAGCAGATCTTACAGTTTTCATAACGGATTTTCATTTGCCAGCTTTAAAAAGTTTTTTTCTCCATTTACCTATTTCATTGCTCTAAGCAATTGTTAACTAGGCAACAAATTGCATTTCTAAAGGGACAACTCTTAGTTGTGACAAATATATATATATATATATATATATATATATATATGTATATTTCATAAACACAAAGCTAAGATTTTAGGCCTAAATATTGTATCATCATTTGCTCAAACCAAGAAAAGTAAAAATGTGCTCAAGTAAAAGATAACTCAAGACAAGATGATCAGAAAAGCATCTTGAACAGAGGTATGATTATGTAAATTTAAAAGAATAGTAAGAATTTCTAATGTACAGAGGTAGATATCCTTAAAAATGGAGATTTCCTTTAAAGACATAAATTTCTTTTTAAAAAGAATTTTTAGAGTATCAATTAAATTCCAGAAAGGTGTATCACTTTCCTTTTTCTGTCCATAAATCTTTTCCTACCATGTGGCTACACTGGAATCTCAGAGCCTACTCTGGCTCAGGAGGCTGCCCAATTCGTGAATGGTTCTTTGCTCAATTAAACCCTGTTAAATTTAATTTGGTTAAGGTTTTCCTTTTAACAATTTTATTTGTCCATAAGTAAGAATTGCTCTTAAACCGGAGCCGGCAGTTGGGCGGAACTGCCAAGGGTTCATTGTCTCCTCCACTTCAGAGGATCTGTTTGAGTCCTGTCCACCCGACCCTACCGGGGTACCTTCGAATAAAAGCGGGCTATGGTGCCGTTGCGTGTCGGTACCCTGTCCTGATGCCTCCTCCACCCAGGTCATGTTGACCCTTGTGGGTCGGGGCTGGGGGTGCGCACGCGCGCTTGTGTGGCGGGCCACTGGGGCCTCGCTTCTGGTGGTCTCGGGGCCCTGGCCCGCGTTAACCTTCGGGGCTGCTGTGGAGTCCTGGGCAACTGACAGGCTCTACAGCTCCGCTGACCTCAAGGAAAAACTTGACATGTCTAGATTTCCTGTTGAAAATATTAGAAACTTCAGTATCATTGCACATGTGGATCATGGCAAAAGTACTTTAGCTGACAGGCTCCTAGAACTTACAGGGACAATTGATAAAGAATAATAAGCAAGTTCTCGATAAATTGTAAGTGGAACGAGAAAGAGGAATCACTGCTAAAGCACAGACAGCATCTCTTTTTCACAATTGTGAAGGAAAGCAGTACCTTTTAAATCTCACTGATACACCGGGCCATGTTGATTTTAGTTATGAAGTATCCAGGTCACTTACTGCTTGCCAGGGTGTTTTACTTGTGGTTGATGCAAATGAGGGTATTCAAGCCCAAACTGTAGCAAACTTCTTTCTTGCCTTTGAAGCACACCTATCGGTAATTCCAGTTATAAATAAGATAGAGCTGAAGAATGCTGATCCTGAAAGGGTTGAAAACCAAGTTGAGAAAGTGTTTGATATTCCAGGTGATGAATGTATTAAGATTTCTGCTAAACTTGGAACAAACGTTGAGAGTGTTCTTCAGGCAATTATTGAAAGAATCCCCCCTTCTAAAGTGCATCGCAAAAATCCCCTGAGAGCTTTGGTATTTGACTCCACCTTTGATCACTATAGAGGTGTGAAAGCCAATGTAGCATTACTTGATGGAGTGGTTTCCAAAGGAGATAAAATTGTATCTGCACATACTCAAAAGATATACGAAGTTAATGAAGTAGGAGTTTTGAATCCTAATGAGCAGCCAACTCATAAATTATATGCAGAACAGGTGGGCTATCTGATTGCTGGGATGAAAGATGTCACTGAAGCACAAATAGGAGATACATTACATTTACATAAGCAACCAGTGGAGCCCTTGACCGGGTTTAAATCAGCAAAACCAATGGTATTTGCAGGAATATATCCTGTAGACCGATCTGAATATAACAATCTAAAGAGTGCCATAGAGAAACTGACTTTAAATGATTCCAGTGTGACAGTTCATCAAGATAGTAGCCTTGCTCTGGGTGCTGGCTGGAGGCTAGGTTTTCTTGGACTTTTGCACATGGAAGTATTCAACCAGCGAATAGAGCAAGAATATAATGCTTCTGTTATTTTGACAACCCCTACTGTTCCATATAAAGCTGTACTTCCATCATCAAAACTGATAAAGGAATATAGAGAAAAAGAAATTACAATTATAAATCCTGCACAATTCCCTGATAAATCAAAAGTAACAGAATATTTGGAGCCAGTTGTTTTGGGTACTATTATCACACCAGATGAATACACTGGAAAAATAATGATGCTATGCCAGGCTCGAAGGGCAGTTCAGAAGAATATGATGTTTATTGATCAAAATAGAGTTATACTTAATTATCTCTTTCCTTTGAATGAAATTGTGGTAGATTTTTATGACGCTTTGAAATCTCTATCTTCTGGATATGCCAGTTTTGATTACGAAGATGCAGGCTACCAGACTGCAGAACTTGTGAAAATGGATATTCTACTGAATGGAAATACCGTAGAGGAGCTGGTAACTGTTGTACACAAAGACAAAGCACACTCGATTGGCAAAGCCATGTGTGAACGGCTCAAGGATTGTCTTCCTAGGCAACTGTTTGAGATAGCAATTCAAGCTTCTATTGGAAGTAAAATCATTGCAAGAGAAACTGTGAAAGCCTATAGGAAAAATGTTTTGGCAAAATGTTATGGTGGTGATATTACCTGAAAAATGAAACTTTTGAAGAGACAAGCAGAAGGGGGAAAAAAGCTGAGGAAAATTGGCAACATTGAAGTTCCAAAAGATACTTTTATAAAAGTTCTGAAAACACAATCTTCTAAATAATTGGTGGAGAAATATAAAGAATTTTAATAAATTAAAAACTATCTTTTTCTCATTGCAAAAAAAAGAATTACCCTTATAGAGGAGAAAGACAATAATAAACTATAAAATGTATGTATATGAGCTCTCTACTATTAAGACAGTAAGGACCTCAGGTAAAAGGATCATGTCTTATTTTTGTTTCTTATTCAAGATAGAATACATGCTGTAACAAACAACCCCTAGATCACTATGGCTTAATAAAAGGGAGGTGTATTTCTTCTTATGTCACAGTTAAATTGGTATTTGGTGGTAAGCTTTTTAAAGACAAATTCAGAATAAGAGGCTCCTTTTTTAGTGGGTCAACCACTTCCAGGGTCTTGGAGATGAGACTTCTACTGCAAGCTTGAAGACAAAAAAAGAATAACAGACATTGAATTATCCCTATCTATTCTAAAATGTTTTCTTCTTCCCAAAGAGATGAAACTGTTCCTTTCTCTCTTCTCATTCTGGTATTTTCATTACATGTAAGTTACATCTTTTGTAATTGTCCAACAGTTCTTAGTTTTCATATTTTACACATCAATTTTTCATTAATTTTCTCCTTACATTTCCGTTATGAAAGTTTCCATTGATATACCCTCAGATTCACTGTTTCTTTTTTGGGTGCTCTGATAATAAGCCCATTAAAGACATTCTTCATTTGTGCTTCAGTGGTTTTGATTACCAGCATTTCTTTTGGTTGTTTCTTAAGAGTTTTCATCTATCTGCTTATATTACATATCTGTTCTTGCATGTTGTCCACTTTTTGTTAGTTACCTGAGTTACTGGCAGTGAATCTGCACGCATCTGCAGCAACTTCAATTCTTTTCCCCTCAGAATAAACAATTTGACTTAGGGTAGTAAAGCAGAAAAAGAGATCAAGGCAAGTTTCAGAGCAGGAGTTGAAGTTTATTTAAAAAGCTTTAGAATAGGAAAGAAAGGAAAGAACCCCTGGAAGAGACTCAAGTAGGCATCTGAAGATCAAAGAGGAAAAAAAGGTGGGGGAACTTTAACCTTGATCTTGGGACTTTATAGGCTTGCCTCTTTCCCATGTTTCTTTCCTTAGGGTGGGCTTTCCACATGCATGGTGCCCTGCTTACCTTTTGGAATTGAGCATGTACAGTGTGTTTAGGGAATTATACACATGCCCATCTGAAGCTTTCTTCCTTTTTCCGGTGGGATGTACCTGATAGAGCATACTTTGCCATTTTTGTCTCTTAATGTGCATAGTTGCTTCTACCTGGGGCCTGCTTTTAATTAATACTTTAATGTTAACAGGTGTGGACCATGAGGAAGTGGTCTCGCCTTGGCGCTGGTTGCCAGTTTATCACTTTAAGAGAGGCAATACGATAATTGTCAAATCATTACCAGACATTTCTATCGGGTGGTGAGGGGAGACCCCTCTCCTGCCCCACTCATGCCTAACTACATGTAACAAAAGGAACTGAGGTAAATAGGTCTTTTGTGTGAGGTGTTAGATTTATCTATGTGTTAGGTTGTGTTAACTGTTTGCTTCAGCTGTAGATGCCAGAGGCTAAAATTTTCTCTGGTGTCTTTGTTTTCTTCTCCTCTGTGGCATTTGGGTTTTCATAGAGATTTCTTAAATAGAATATAAGCCTTAGAAGCAAGAACCCTGTTGATGTGGTAGTATGAAGGCACAGGAGAAGCATGCTATTAATATATTCTTACTATTAGGTCTCAATGTTTTAGTGGGTCTGTGGGTCCCTAGGCTATGACCTTAAGTGTTTCTGAACTTCTTTATATGATACAGGAACTTTAGAGCGCACTGGATTTGTGTATTTTCCTTCCCTTACACAGCTGGCTAGAAGGAGTTAGAGTTGAGTATCTCTCTTCCCCCACATCAATTAGACTGTTAAAACCCATATTGGATAGGCTCTAGTAAAAATAGTTTTTCTTTAGGGCAGTCCTTTGTTAATGAGAACAGACACTCCGGGTGTATTGCAAAACGGTTACTTTTCCCTTCCCCTGGAGGTATGCATAAAAATATTTTCTCTGATCTTCACCCATAAAATCTTGTCATAAAATTCAGTATGGAGGACCCCAAAGGCTGACTTCCTAGGAGTTTTTAATCTCTCAAATGTCCCCACTGAATCTACAGCAATTAGTCAATTACTCTACCAGTCTTCAGCTGTGTCTTTTGCCCCTGGTAAACTAGAATTAATGTGTATCTTTCACTCTAATTTTAAGAACTACAGTTTGCCCTGTGACCTCAATTTGCTAATAGATCTAAGGTGAGTTGATTTTCAGTCTGTTTAGCTTTAAAAATTTGTTTCCTTTAAAAATTTCCTGCTGAATAGCAAGTAATTTAAATATTTAATTAAAAACTGGGTTTGGGGAATTTTTTTAAGTTTATTCAAAATTAGTAAATTTTATAAAAAGTAAACAAATTATATGGTAGTTTCTTGAGACAAAGTAGTTCAAAATTCTTGTTTCAATTCGTGTAACCTAGTATTCTTCAAAGATAGGGTTAGTGCAGTTTTTGTCTGCACAATTCATTGTGAACAAGAGACTAGATGTTCCATAATTATTCATCTGTTATTTATTAGTGCACTTTTTTCCCAGAAAAGGGTTTTTTTATTTAAGTAACTGCAAATAGCAAACTAGAAGGGGGTAGGCCCAGGCTGGAACAAATTGTGGCTACGCCTCTCCAACAGAACAGGTGAAGGAAGTGGCCCTTAATGATGGATTCAGGCCCCCTTGCTCCTCTGCTGCAGCATCCTAAGGGCAGGGCCCCCCCTTCCCTGGGACTGGGGTAGTCAGTCACCCAGCCTGCCATGCCCAGCCCCTCTTCCCCACAAAGAGTATCTTGGGGGAGGGGATCGTGGGCAGAACTGGAGGCAATGAGGATGAACATTTGGCGCTGGTAGCAGCAGCAACGATGGATGTCAAAGAATGGAACACTGAACAAAAACAACACAACTATCCAGAGGTAGTTTGTGATCAGAGGAAAAATGAAAGTAGAACCTTGGTGGGGCAGGGAGGAGCAGAAGGGTTTGGAGTGGGCAGCGTGAGCTCCTTGTTATTGGTGCCCCATCTGAGGAGGGGGAAATTACCCAGTGGCAGAAGCAAAGTAGGGTTGGAGGGAGCAGCCCCAGCCTGCCTCAGGTGGAGGCCATAGGGCTCATGGGCCTCACCTGGACAATAGGTTACTGCATCTCCATCACCGCAATATAAACTCAGATCCCAGGTGGAGGGTAAGGGGGTTGGGGCCACATTGAAGAGGGTGTAGGGAACTCACACCCCTCCTGCCTTCCTGTAGCCAAAGGGGGCTGTCCAACTTAGTGCAGGGACTAAGGAAGGCAGGGAAGGATGAAAGGTGTGAGCCCCACATGCTGACAAAGACAGTTTGGCTGGCGGAATCCTAGGGACCAGCACCTGCCTCTATTGGCCACACCTGCTGCTGCTAGGGCAATGGAGTTGGGCATGCCAGGATGAGATGGGGCTGGGCCCCTTTTGTGGCCAGGGGAACCCTCCCAGGTCCCACTGTGGGAAGCCAGAGTGAACAGTGGAGGAGCAGAGAGGGTGCCCACAAACCAAAAGCTCAGAGAGCGATGTCCCCACCCACCACCAAGCGAGTGGGAATGCAGCAAGTGCAGGGTACGGCTAAGTGAGACGTTAGCCTTGTACGGGAGGGCACGTATATATGCGTGGGTGGGTGGGAGGAGCTGGGAACTGAGGGCATGGGAAAACTTCCCCACTCAGCTCATGGGGGCCCTGCAGCAGCTGTTGTGCTGTGTAGTGTGGTGGCGAGGGCGCAGGTGGAAGATGGGGGTGGCGACTGGAGGCGGCAGTGATGGTGAGCTTGGGGAAAGGGCAGGGGTGGTGGGAGCGGAGCAAATCTGTCCAGTTCCAGAAGGAAGCTGCTCCTTCAGTGAGGAGCGGGTAGCACGCACCGTCACTGCTCCTCCACCAAAGACTGCTGTGATATGTCCTCCTCTCCTCCTTCTCCAGTTTTTTGGGTGTGCCCCTTGCTTTCCTTCCAGGAACTGTGGTGGTTTACCGAGTCTTGGCAGTGCCCTTGTTTTTGCTTCCCTTTGGTCGGCCCCAAGGTCTCTTAGGTGTTGGCACTTCGCTGGGCTCCTTCTCATTGCTTACCAGCGTTGTCCGGGTCTCACCGAAGGCAGCTTGCTTAGCTACACCCCTCCCCGACCCCGCTCCTCAGTGCCATCCTTTTTCTACTTGGAGGCCAAGGACGGGCTGAACTTCGAGCTCCAGTGCTCATCTTCCCGTCTCTAAGGAGCAGGTGGAAGAGTGATGGCTGGGATGGCCTTGGAGCCGCGCCAGCGCCAGAAATAGCCCCAGGTTGGAATCCCAATTAGAGGAGACTAGTGCACTATTTTTTTTTTAATCCACTTGACTACATGATTGTAGTACCCTAATCATATTAATCTGACAATTTTTCAGGTAAGGCAATATCAACTAAAGATTTTGCTCAAGTCATTCCTAGAAATGTTCTGCCTTGTTGGGTGCAGACAACTACTATGAAATTTAAAATACCTGTACAATTATTGACAGGTTTCACCTGTAATGTGATGACTTAAAAAAATTATTTTGCTTGTTTAACAATCATGGAAGAAGATTCTGAGACAAGTTTAGTTTGCAGGACCAAAACCCGTGGAAGGGAAGAAAACAAAGCAGGCCTGGGGAGAGAAAAATGTCGGGTTCTGAGGCAGGTCTATCAAAAGTCTCAACTCACCTCATGGGGGAAATTCTGGAATTAGACTGGTTCTTCAGAATTGTCCCTTATGGGCCTGAAGGTTGGATCTTAATGCCTGCATTTTGAGCAGCCATTGGATCTGGGATGCCAGAAATGGGCATGACATTGAGGTGGGCAGCTGGAACAGGACCTAAAAAGTTGGAGAGCAACTAGGGCAAC